CCCTCTGTTCATTTCACGTTATGAATAATCTAGAAAATGTAATCGTATAAGTCTCCGTCCGCTCGTAGACTTCTCCATGCTGTTTATTCCACGATATGAACAACATGTATTTATTTAATCACATGTGTCTCCGTCCGCTCGTAGACTTCTCCACGATGGAGACGCGTCTGCAGAAGCGACATTACCAGAAGCTCACGGAGATCGTGGCGGACGTGACCAAAATCTTCGATAACTGTCGCTACTACAACCCCAACGACACGCCCTTCTTCCAGTGTGCCGAGGTGCTGGAGGCCTTCTTCGTTCAGAAGCTCAAAGGCTTCAAAGCCAGCAGGTAAACACATGTGCTGAACATCTGGGTCTCTCTCCCTCCATGACATCACTCACTTTTAACCCTTTGTTTACCACCGGCATGCGCAGGACGTTGATCCACCTGGAGATCAGAGAGTATATGGAGTCACTGCTGCTCGGCTCAAACCTACAGAGCTGACAAACATTAGGACATTAGACCGATTTCAAACCCAGATAATAAAATATAATTACAATAACACTCGGAATACTTATTTCTCTTTATACTTAATAACATTAAGTCCTAGTACTAGAAGGGGTTAAATGCACATGTCACTGTGTGCATGTGTGTGTGACCATTGAAGAGGGTTTCATTAAAGTAAAAATACGCTATAAAGACTAAACGATATATTTATATAAACATAAGACAATAAGGTAAAATGTCTAAAAATAAATACAATAAATTATGTTTATAAATATAAGAATTTTAAGGAAAATATCCACTTTAAAATAAAATAGAATATAAATATGTATATTATGTATATATTTATATAAATAAAATGTAGTAAGAATTTCCGATAAAAGATTAATTTAGAATAGAAAATGTCCAATAATTAAGATATATATGGAATGTGTTCATTAACATAAGAAGCTAGTTTAAGAATAAGCAATAAAATATATTTAGAAAAACATTCGATTTTCAAGTTAAATGTCCAATAAAACATGAAATGGGACCGAAATATGTAGGAGCCTTTCTGTCCATTAGGTCTTCACACGTGTGTGTATCGTGTGTGTATCATGTGTGTATCGTGTGTGTATCATGTGTGTATCATGTGTGTATCGTGTGTATCGTTGCATTTGTGTGTGTTCACCTTTGCTGCATGCCTTTTTGATTTACGCCATCCCATTCTCTCTTTTCTTACAGATTGTCAGATTCTTAAAGTAGTTGCCGTCTGGACTGGATGCTGGCCTCTCTATATATAAAAACAATAACTTAAGAAGGAAATCACACACACAAACACACCAATGTGCTTTCATGTAAACGCCGGCAATTTCACATTTTTGGTAATATAATCAGTTTAATCAGAAAATGCAATCAAGGGACCCTTTCTTCTCATTATTTCCTCCAATCTGGCCTTTTTTCAACAATAACTCACGTCTTAATCAGGAGTTTAATGCATTTATTGTATTTATTTTCTGAGCTTCAATAGATGATGTGTCCACCTTACGGGATATAAAACAAAAACCATATTTGAGCTGCGTATTTTGTTATATAGAGATATTTATGAGAAGTTTTGTATGTTACATCCCCTTTGAGTTTGATTGAGCTGGTTGTTAAGATCTTGAATGTACATACTTTTTTATCATGTACAGCGGTTGTATGTTTGAATGTTTTAAATAATCATGAAACCAATCATTTTTAGATAGTATGATTTTTAAGAAAATGTACTACAAAGTGCTTCACAACCTCAGTTTGGAAGCTTTCCTCCCTAAAGGCATTCCCAGATGTTTCCTCCTGCAGGATTCTCCGCTTTTGCATCTGCTGTGTTGTGTTTGTCGCAGAAATAAATATAAAAATCACGAAGAGCTCTCAACTCTCCCCTCTCTCCACATCCTGTAGGTCTCATAACAACAAGCTACAGTGTTCCACGGTCTCTTAGAAAAAGCAGCGCACGTTTCTCAAACAACAAAAAAAATGCACTTGCCAAGAAAACGGCTATTTTTCTGAACTGTGTGACGGACTCTCGTGCTGCGTTCAGGGTCTGCGTTGACGCTCTGAAAGGGACCTTTTTTTTGGACCTGTGTTCGTCGGTGGGACTGAACTGAGGAGCGTTCAGAAGACGGTTTACCTCGGAGAAAAGACTCTTTAAGGAGCTCTCATATTTCCATGTTTATTTTTTTTTTGGGATCTCAGTCTTTTCATTCTTTGTCTTTCTTGTTTAACAAAAGGCCATCCGACATTTCCAACGAGAAATTTGAATATTGACGAACAATAGCTGAGTTTTACTGAGCATCAAGTGTCTAAATTAGCCTTTTTCCACTTTTTGTTTAGAAAGACGGTTGGACAGCAGTAGGTTTAACGTCTTCGACCTACTGATCGAACAGTAATAAGCTATTGTAAATGGATCGACTGACTCAGAAGGACGACTCGCTAAATCTGAAGGTTTCTGCCCTGTTTGTAAAAAAAAATAATGACTATAATTGTCCAATTTTCACCTGATTTCTTTTTCTTTTTTTGTATTACATCTGGAGAAATATTGATGTATATGGAACTTAATAAAATATAAAAGACTGATATCTTCCTTGATGTGTGAAAATGTTTTTTAAACTTGATTATAATAATAAAAAATGTCTGAATTTGGGGGATTGTTGCTTATAATTAATGAATGCATATATCTGGGCAAAAAATCCACATGAAAAGTCATGAGATAAAAACAGCAATTTGACAAAAATCTGTACCACTTTACAATAAGACTACCCTTATAAAGGATTCATAAAGAGTTTATAATTAGGTTGAAAACACTTTATTAATCATTAAGAACCAGTTCTAACATAGTTTGCATCAACACAGGCAGGGCTGGCCCTCGGCATAGGCAGTATAGGCGAATGCTAAGGGCGCATCAACCCATAGGGGGCGCCGAAAATTGGGGAGAAAAAAAAAAAGTTCGAAATTAAAAAAATATATTTTGTCATGATTTTGGATCAACAAAGTACATCTTATTATCTTATACTAACAGAACTATGCCTATATTGTGTACAGCGCCCATAAACTGCCCCCCCCCCCCCCTCCCAAATCAAGTTGAACTGCCCCAGCCCCAGTAAAACCCAGAGGTTTATGTGAAATTGTTCTTTTTTTGAAATAATGGAAGTGTGCAATTATAGGTTTTAATTTTATATTTGTGTTAATTTAAAATAAATCAAACTCCCAAAAAACGTACACAGCTTCTGTGTGCTTTTATTAACATTGGAATTTACTGTGTAAGCGGCCGCGGGGGGAGAGCTTTAGAGAGCTCTCTCCTGAAAGACTGATAACCTCAGCTCAGTGAGGTAAAGGCACACCTTTATATGATCATTATAGTTATACAAAAATAAGAGAATAGGTGAAAAACAGGTATAAAATACTATATGACAGTACAAAAAAGTTGTTATTAATAAACAAGAATACAGTTTGAAAGGGGAGTGATTTGTAAAGTATCCATAAAGAAAATCTACTTCCAGTTCTGTTTCATATGGGTGTTGAGAGATGTATCCTTAGATTTCCTAATGTTGCTCTCAAAGTGCACCAGATTGATTCAATTCAATTCAAAACCTTTATTTATCCAGGTAAAATCCCATTGAGATCAATGATCTCTTTTTCAAGGGAGACCTGCAGCATGCTTTTAACTTCAATATTACACAATATACACCACAACCATGCACGCGCGAGTCATAGTAAGTGTAAGTGTCTGCATTTGGGGGGGGGGGGGGGGGTGCCAGCTAAAATCTTGCCTAGGGCAGCAAATTGGTCAGGGCTGGCCCTGAACAGAGGCTCACTATTTGGCAAGAGGACTAAGCCTTATATTGGCTACTTAGCGAGAATCAACTCAACAGATACCAAGGATGCTGGCTGATGAAGAAGACGAAGTAAGCTAGGTAGCCAATAAGACTTGGCAGTACAGATAAATGGGCTCACTATTTGGCAAGCAGCCGGTCACAGTTGGCCTGTTAATCTCGTTTTATAAAAGCTTATTCATGATTTACAACCTAATTAATAAGTGAATTACAAACTATTCGTAAACACTTTATAAGGGTAGTCTTATTGTAACGTGGTACCCAAAAATCTGAGCTTTTGAGAAAATAAATATGATATATAAAGTCAGCGTTATGCGACAAATGTCCAAATTATGAAATACAAAAGTCATAACGAGTAAAAGGTAGAAATTATGAGATTAAGAGTCAAAATGACACATATTTATGGGATAAAAAGTCAATCATGAGATCTAAAGTGGCAGTTATGAGGTAAAAAAAGTAATAAACATTGTCATAATGATGAGAACTACGTAAAGATTGATAAAATAAGTAAAAACTATTAAATAAAAAGTAAAATATAAGATTTAAAGTCAAAATCACAAGATTTTGAAATGAAAAGAGGTTGAAATTATTAGATAAAGTCATAACTACGGGATAGTGATGAGATAAAAAGGTAAATTATGAGATCTAAAGTCATAATTACGAGATAGAAAAATCGAAATTATGAGATTAATCGAAATTATGAAGTAAAGAGTCATTATGGGATAAAATGTCAGTATGAAGTGATGAAAAAAATCGAAATTATGAGATAAAAAGGTGTGACATGAGGTACCTTATGTAGTAACAAAGAAACGTGTCGTTTTCTATTGTAAATGTACAAAAAAGTATCGACATTGTTCGACGGGACGGTTTGTCCACTGTAAAAGTGTCATTCCATGAGGACCAACATCCACAGATCTGGGATCAGCTCACTCGTCACAAGCATCCAATGAAAAACCAGAACGACTGTTAAAAGCCGAGTCAGGATCAGTTTCCGTGCAGTATGATTCTGCCGCGCTACGGAGATATCGCGATACCCACATTACGACACTTCCTGTTTGCTTCGTGATTTTTTTCAAACGGACCAATGAGAAGAGGCGGCTGGATGCTTCTGCTCAAACGGACCAATCAGAGGGCTCCGTTTCAGTAATTTAAAGGTCTGTCCGGCACTTTTCGAGTATTACAACCTCCGAGCGAGAGCCAGGTAAGAACGTGTCTCCTACTTATCAAGCTTTATTAAAAGAAATGTCATTTTATCCTTGAAAAAATACAGTTTTGCATACTTGTATGTGGTTTATTGACGATATTACCAACTGTAGCTGGCTGTCAGGGGTTTATTTTGGTGTCAATCCGTCCATATGTTTGACATGAGGCAGCTAAAAGTGACTTAACCTATATTTCTTTGCAGGAAAAACCACTTAAAACTTCATTTTTACTGCTGCTAAGCTTCCCTGTCACCTGCAAACATGTCTGCTCCGTCATGTGAGAACGCCGACCGTCTGAACAAATTCAAGAACAAAGGCAAAGATGCCAATGTGAGTTTTATTTCTGCGACGTTTTAGCTTCTTAATCCACATATTTGAAGTTTAAATGTGACTTTAAATTGACCGTAAATGCAGGAGCTTCGACGCAGGAGGGTGGAGGTGAACGTGGAGCTCCGAAAGGCGAAGAAAGATGACCAGATGTTCAAAAAGAGAAATGTGGCAGTGTTTCCTGACGAGGCCACTTCCCCTCTGCAGGAGAGGACCCAGAACTGTCAGGTGAGCGTTTTAAAACACATATTTTAAAACGAATGAAACGTTAAATCTATTGTTCCAGCTGGTTTTACACGACATCAATGTGGTTTTATATGCAGAGAATACAAGAAAACCCCATTTATAATGTTCTAAAAAGTCAATAATGTAACTTTTTTTTGTAGTTTAATCTTTGAAATGTATTCTGCTCTGTGCTGCTGATCTGAGATCTGTTAGTTGAGGAATGTAAGGGGTCGGTTTTAACACCACAGACCCCACCCTTAAATCCCTTTAGCATGTACTTTGTATGCATTCATGTCTTTGTGAAACTCCCTATATGTGTTTTTTATTTAATCACATTTTCAGCAGTCCTATTCAAAATGGTTGCCTACTTTCTTCTGATTAGAATCAATCTGACAAAATGGAAACGTATTGTTTGATAACGTTAAACAGAGGGATAGGGATACTGTGCTTCACTGATACAATGCTATTGTATTAGCATGGGCTGAACGGCATTATAATCTATTCTAACAAATATATATTCTTCTAAAAGTTGTTGAATTAAAATAGGCTGGGGATTTTTCTCCTCATTGATAAAGAACCATGTTTTTCTACGTTATGATCTATCATCATTTAAGATGTTACGGTAGCACGGACGTTGCATATTTCTTTGTGATAGAAAAACATAGACCTCCATAAATACTTTTTATTACATGTACGTTTTATCAAATTCTCAACCGCCTACTTGTTTCAGCTGTATCTACAGTACTGCAGCCTAATGTATTCATTTGACCGAGGTACAAATTGGATAATGATAAGTAACATTACGTGGGATTGTAACTTCATGTCCTCTTTGTTGTTGTTGGCTGTATCTATCATTTTTCTAGACAATGTAGCGGTTAGGAGTTGTTGTTGTTGTTGTTGATCTTCCCTGTGTTGTCCTCCTGCCAGGCGTTCAGACAGTGGACGGTGGAGGAGATCCTCACTGGAGTGAACAGTGGAGACGCAGAGACTCAGCTGCAGGCCACTCAGGCAGCACGGTAACAACACATTTATCATTATATATATATATATATATATAAAGGTGCCTCTGTGGAACTCTCTCTCTCTGTGGAACTCTCTCTCTCTGTGGAACTCTCTCTCTGTGGAACTCTCTCTCTGTGGAACTCTCTCTCTCTCTGTGGAACTCTCTCTCTGTGGAACTCTCTCTCTGTGGAACTCTCTCTCTGTGGAACTCTCTCTCTGTGGAACTCTCTCTCTGTGGAACTCTCTCTCTCTGTGGAACTCTCTCTCTCTGTGGAACTCTCTCTCTGTGGAACTCTCTCTCTGTGGAGCTCTCTCTCTGTGGAACTCTCTCTCTCTGTGGAACTCTCTCTCTCTGTGGAACTCTCTCTCTGTGGAACTCTCTCTCTGTGGAACTCTCTCTCTCTGTGGAACTCTCTCTCTGTGGAACTCTCTCTCTGTGGAACTCTCTCTCTGTGGAACTCTCTCTCTGTGGAACTCTCTCTCTCTGTGGAACTCTCTCTCTGTGGAACTCTCTCTCTCTGTGGAACTCTCTCTCTCTGTGGAACTCTCTCTCTCTGTGGAACTCTCTCTCTCTGTGGAACTCTCTCTCTCTGTGGAACTCTCTCTCTCTGTGGAACTCTCTCTCTGTGGAACTCTCTCTCTGTGGAACTCTCTCTCTGTGGAACTCTCTCTCTCTGTGGAACTCTCTCTCTCTGTGGAACTCTCTCTCTGTGGAACTCTCTCTCTCTGTGGAACTCTCTCTCTGTGGAACTCTCTCTCTCTCTGTGGAACTCTCTCTCTGTGGAACTCTCTCTCTGACACCGCTCTCAGAAGCTGCGAAGAAGACCTGTCTTTTACGTTGGCTTTTGTTTCTACTTAAAGTGTGTGAACTCCCCCATAGTGATCACATCTGACAGTCTCACCTCCTCTCACTCACCTCCTCTCCTCTCACTCACCTCCTTTCTCCTCTCACTCACCTCCTTTCTCCTCTCACTCACCTCCTCTCTCCTCTCACTCACCTCCTCTCACTCACCTCCTCTCTCCTCTCACTCAGCTCCTCTCCTCTCACTCACCTCCTCTCACTCACCTCCTCTCACTCACCTCCTCTCACTCACCTCTCTCCTCTCTCACTCACCTCCTCTCACTCACCTCTCTCCTCTCACTCACCTCTCTCCTCTCACTCACCTCCTCTCCTCTCACTCACCTCCTTTCTCCTCTCACTCACCTCCTCTCTCCTCTCACTCACCTCCTCTCTCCTCTCACTCACCTCCTCTCACTCACCTCCTCTCACTCACCTCCCACTCACCTCTCTCCTCTCACTCACCTCTCTCCTCTCACTCACCTCCTCTCCTCTCACTCACCTCTTCTCCTCTCACTCACCTCCTCTCCTCTCACTCACCTCCTCTCACTCACCTCCTCTCCTCTCACTCACCTCCTCTCCTCTCACTCACCTCCTCTCACTCCTCTCCTCTCACTCTCCTCTCACTCCTCTCCACTCACCTCCTCTCCTCTCACTCCTCTCACTCCTCTCACTCACCTCCTCTCCTCTCACTCACCTCCTCTCCTCTCACTCCTCTCACTCCTCTCCTCTCACTCCTCTCTCACCTCACCTCCTCTCACTCAACTCACCTCCTCTCACTCAACTCACCTCCTCTCACTCACTCACCTCCTCTCCTCTCACTCACCTCTTCTCCTCTCACTCACCTCCTCACTCACCTCTTCTCCTCTCACTCACCTCCTCACTCAACTCACCTCCTCTCACTCAACTCACCTCCTCTCACTCAACTCACCTCCTCTCACTCAACTCACCTCCTCTCCACTCACTCAACTCACCTCCTCTCACTCAACTCCTCTCCTCTAACTCCTCTCCTTAACTCCTCCCTCCTCTCCTCTAACTCCTCCCTCCTCTCCTCTAACTCATCTCCTCTCTCCTCACAGGAAGCTCCTCTCCCGGGAGAAGAACCCCCCGATCAACCAGCTGATCAGCGCGGGTCTCATCCCGAGGTTCGTGTCCTTCCTGAGCCTGGTGGATTCCCCCCCCATGCAGTTTGAAGCGTCCTGGGCTCTCACCAACATCGCCTCGGGGACCTCAGAGCAGACGGCAGCCGTGGTGGAGGGGGGGGGCATCCCCGCCTTCATCGGCCTGGTCAACTCCCCCCACCAGCACATCAGCGAGCAGGCCGTGTGGGCGCTGGGGAACATCGCCGGTATTTATTAAGCCATCTTCTTCACATTGTATCTACAGAGGTGGATTACAATGAAGTAGCTTTAGTACAAGTAGAACTTTTAGGTACTCAAGTATTTATATTGTATGCTAATACTTCTACTGCGCTCCATTTCAGAAGCCAGTATTGTACTTTTAGCTCTACTTATCAGGGTTCTTACGGTCATTGAAAAGTCATGGAAATTCAAAATGCTAATTCCAGGCCCTGGAGAAGTTATGGAAATGTAACCAAAGTTGCATAAAATATAATTTATATTTTATCTAATCGCCCAAATAGTAATACTTAATGATAATCACAGGAACACAGATCCTCAGGGACTCTGTCAACTCCTGGGACCGAGAGGGGCTGTTGTGCACAGTCTGATACAAGCTCATATTATCAGCGTTAAGAGTATTTTATACTGAATAGTAATGAAACGTAAAATGGCATTTAACTGACGAGGTGTTTTGCTGGTGAGAGATTTGAGTTGCTTTAGCGCGTAGAAGCTAGTAAGCCTATTTGATTTGTTTTAGATAGGCTCAACATGTTCCAGATGCAGACCTTATTTTCCTGTTCCATGTTAAAATAAACCATTTTCAGTGGAACCGCTGAAAGAGTAATTTTTTTGGTCATTGAAAGTCATTGAAAGTCATTGACGCATTAATGATCATAATCCAGTTATTTAATATATATGATTCTGAAATGGGACATGACACATATCAAATACTTTCACTTAAGCCAACTCTGTGTATTTGACACATCTTCCAAAAAGTCGCACCTGGTTCTTTTCCCAAAAATGTAGAAATGTCTCATATTCTATAGATCAGGCCGTCCTTAGTATCAAACTGGTTTTTAGCCACTCAGATTTTACTTTATTGGTGGTATTACTTGCAGATGTATGTTTTCTCATCTTGTCTTAATGAGCCGTGTTGTTCGTCCCCTCTCTCAGGCGATGGCTCTGCCCTCAGAGACCATGTGATCAAACACGGAGCCGTCCTCCCTCTGCTCAGCCTGCTGGCCGTGCCCGACCTCTCCGTGCTCACTGTGAGTGCTTCCAGTCATCTGGTTTATTATCTGACTTGGTTTGTCCATACATGTACTTTTCTTATAATGGGAGAAAATGTCCTTACAGGCAGTTTAAAGGGGAAAAAACACCTTATTGAATTCCTTAAACACATTTAAAAGAATATATTCTGATTATTCTACATAAGTATTTCAAGAAAAGAAAAAAACAGCCGAACTAATTATTACAAAATTAAGTTTAAAAGTCATATTCACCATAATAATTTACATTTCAATGATCTTTATAGATTTAAACATACACTGAATTAGATCTGGTGTATAATGATGGATACATACGCAGAGAGGACTTAAAAAGGAACACATATCAAATCCAAAAAAGGTATAAATATACAAAGTAAAATAGCAATTTGGGGGTAAAAGTGCACTTTATCAGAATTTAAAGAATGAAAAACAATTTTTAACAACAGAGGGCGCTACATAACACACTTCCAGGAAACGTCAGCACTGGGAGACTTGAATATTTTATTGAAAAAAGCTACATGCAATCAAAAAACAGCTGTGGGTGAAATGGACCCGTTGCTCATTCGGCTCGGTCTGAAAATGACCTCAGGTGAAACGTGACCTGAGTTCAGATACCTGAGCCTAGAGTATCCTGGCGCATGAAGCTTATTTCCTGCTCACACATTGGCAGAGCGATAAAACCCATGTGCCGACAAAAGCATTGAATAATCTCCAGTAACTCTTAAGTGGTGTTCCCCCATGTTAGAGCCAATTAGGATGTACCTAGTCGGTCATGTCGTTGCCATGCTGGTCAAACATAAATCTGGAATTATAGTATGAAATATTTCAAAAAGGATCTCATTAGTTGAGATATTATCAATTGCGCTTTTTCCAAGACGTTGTATCATTTCAACGTGTACACTAGTGCTGTAGCGACGCGTCGACGTCGCTACAGCACTAGTGTACACACGGTGAATGTAAATTGCTCCAAGTTCGTCAGACCTATTAGGCATGTTTGATATTCACTGATTACTCATCATATTAATGGATAAATAAAGCGCCTTGAGCACCAGGAAAAGCGCTATATAAATCAAATGTATTATTACAATAAATAAGGCTTAAGTAAAAGTATGAATATCCGAAGTGAAATGGAGAACTTTATCAGAATTGAAAGTATGGAGAACACAAGCAAATGATACATGGTCATTCCCCTCTGTCCCCACTAGAGGGCGCTCTGACTCGACACTCCTCTCTCAGCAAAGGGCTCTCTTATATTCTGTATAAGTATTTATTTAAATAAAGTATTACGTTTAAAAATGTGTTAATTGAGAAATATCAAATTCAACATAATTTGTAATATCCGCTTTTATTGAGAATCAGACTCGGGTTTATTTAGTAAGAACCTTACACATTAACACAGTAAGAGGAATCTAGTTGTAAACCAAGAGCAAATATACATAGAAAAACTATTACAAGAAATACTGTTTGAAGTACAATAGCAATATGACTTATTATTCAAGAAATGTACTTTCAGTCATTCTCCTCTGTCCCCACTAGAGGGCGCTCTGACACCATGCCTCCTCTCATATCAAACTAACCTCTCTCTCTCTGCAGGTGGGCTACCTGAGGAACGTGACCTGGACCCTCTCTAACCTCTGCAGGAACAAGAACCCGTCCCCCCCCCTCGCAGCCATCCAGCAGATCCTGCCTGTGCTGGTGCGTCTGCTGCACCACGAGGACCGGGAGGTGCTGGCCGACACCTGCTGGGCCGTGTCCTACCTGACGGACGGCTCCAACGACCGCATCGAGGTCATGGTGCAGACCGGGCTCATCCCCCGCCTCGTCAAGCTGCTCGGGTTCGAGGAGCTGGCCGTCGTGGTGCGTACCAAACCTCTTATATGTGGTGTTTTTATTTTGTATAATCGGAAGGAAATGTATGTGTTTATAGCGTCAGTCCCCAGAGGAGGTGAGTGAGAGGAGGTGAGTGAGAGGAGGTGAGTGAGTGAGAGGAGGTGAGTGAGGAGGAGGAGGTGAGTGAGAGGAGGTGAGTGAGTGAGAGGAGGTGAGTGAGTGAGGTGAGTGAGTGAGGTGAGTGAGAGGAGGTGAGTGAGTGAGAGGAGGTGAGGGTGAGTGAGTGAGTGAGAGAGAGGAGGTGCGTGAGTGGAGGTTGAGTGAGCGAGAGGAGGTGCGTGCGTGCGGTGAGGGGCGCGGTGAGTGCGTGAGACGCGGCGGGGCGTGCGGGCGGGGCGTGCGTGCGCGCGGGCGTGCGTGCGCGGCGGGCGTGCGTGCGCGGCGTGCGTGCGCGCGCGGTGCGTGCGTGCGCGGCGGTGCGTGCGTGCGTGCGGTGCGGTGCGTTGCGTGCGCGGCGGTGCGTTGCGCGCGCGGCGGTGCGTGCGCGGCGTGCGTGCGTGCGCGCGGTGCGTGGGCGGCCGGTGCGTGCGGTGCGTGCGTGGGTGCTGCGTGCGCGGCGGTGCGTGCGCGCGCGGCGGTGCGTGCGCGCGCGCGCGTGCGTGCGCGCGGCGGTGCGTGCGTGCGCGGCGGGTGCGTGCGCGGCGGTGCGTTGCGTGCGCGGCGGTGGCTTGCTGCGCGGCGGTGCGTTGCGCGCGCGGCGGTGCGTGCGCGGGCGCGGTGCGTGAGCAGAGGACGGCGGTGACGTGAGAGGACAGAGGAGGTGAGCGTCAGTCCCCATCAATCAACTGTCACAGAACACAGTACATGGGGCAGCGAGAGGAAGGGCTCACAGCTCTTGCATGTTGTAGATTGACCCTTTTTTAGGAGCAGTAAGAAAATCAACATTCCATTTTTTATTTGTTTCAACCTAAAACATTGATTTAAGGAAATCTAAAATAGGTGTTGTTCATGTGGTTGCAAGTAGTAGTAAAACAGAGATTATTAAGAAATATATAAAGCCATTATTTTATGTAAAGAGCATTTGGAAAAGCGTTATTAAAATCTAATGTATTATAAGATTTAAAAAAACTGATTGTGAGATTTTTAAAATGAGAACTTAATAATTACGATTTTAACAAGTCAAAACTATGACTTCATCGTCGTATTGATCAATAAGGCCACAGTGCTGACTTCCAAGGCATTATGAGATTTAAAGATCCTGATATTTTGAAATACCTATGAATCAAAAGTATGACTCATTCGGCTCGGTCTGAAAATGACCTCAGGTGAAACGTGACCTGAGTTCAGATACCTGAGCCTAGAGTATCCTGGCGCATGAAGCTTATTTCCTGCTCACACATTGGCAGAGCGATAAAACCCATGTGCCGACAAAAGCATTGAATAATCTACAGTATGTAATCATTGGGAAGTCAGATTGGCTTTGATGAATATGTGTGCTGGGAATTAGGGCTGCACGATTTGGGGAAATAATCTAATTGTGATTTTTCTGACAGATGTTGCGATTGGATTTGCGATATTTGTTTTTAAGCGACCCAAGGGAATGAAACTCCCGTTGGGTTGCTTTAAAGTCAAGCGTCAGTTTAAGATTCACCCTGTAATAGAAACATGTGATGGAGCATTACTAACCTGACTCAGATGCTTTGCCAAACCATCTAAAGCTCCATTGGAAGCCATTTGGAAAAGTATTTCAAGTGATTGGATCAATCTGTCTATCAGCTTCTATCATGGGCCACTTCTGATTGGTTAACAATGGCTGGTAACACACAAGAGAAACAAACTTCTTTTCTTTTTTTTAAACAAAAAAAAAGTGTTACTTCACAGTTTTACGACACATTTAAATGTTTTGACTTGCAAAATTATCTTTAAAATTGACAATCATCATGTGTGTAATTCGTGGCTCAATTCAAACGGGATTGAAGGATAATCTTTCTCTCCATTGACTTCAATACATACTTTTTCTGAATTAAGGTCCCATGGAGCTCCACCGGAAAGGGAGGGACTTCGCCACTCTATTAGTTTCTATTTTTTAGCCTGATAGATCTTTAAAGAAAACTGATAGTGAGATTTTAAAATGAGATAAAAGTTCAGAATTATGATTTATTTATTTTTTTAAAGTCAGAGAATATGACTCCATAACTAAAGAGACTGTCCTCCCCCCCCCCCCCCCCCCCCCCCCCCCCCCCTCAGACCCCGGCGCTGCGAGCCCTGGGGAACATCGTGACGGGGACAGACGAGCAGACGCAGGCGGTGCTGGACTCCGGAGCCCTCGCCATGTTCCCCGCGCTGCTGCGCCACAAGAAGGCCAACATCCAGAAGGAGGCGGCCTGGACGCTGTCCAACGTGACGGCCGGCAGGGACTGCCAGATCCAGGAGGTCATCGACGCCGGGCTCGTGCCCCTGCTGGCGGACGTGCTGCTCCGGGTACGTTTTGTTAATGGTTTTTATTAAGCTCGTTATTGGTTGCTTCAGACTGAGCTACCTGCTCCGCTATTGTTTTTTAAAAATATGATAACGTCGCATTAAAAACAGAAGTTCAAGATTCAAAGGTTTTATTGTCATATGCACATAGCTAGTGATAACCATATGGCTCATCGTCTCCATCGCTTTTCTCTGCAGGGTGACTATAAAACCCAGAAGGAGGCGGTGTGGGCCATCACGAACTTCACCAGCGGGGGGTCCGTGCAGCAGGTGGTCTACCTGGTGCAGGCCAACATCCTGGAGCCGCTGCTGAACCTCCTCTCCTCCAAGGACAGCAAGATCATCCTCGTCATCCTGGACGCCATCACCAACATCTTCATGGTGAGCGTTTCCAGGGGAGAACACAACACTGTTTAAAGATCTATAGAGTGGGATGTGAACTGACCCTGAAGGCAGCATCTCCTGGTCCAATGGGATTTCTCCATGTGATTTTGGATAATGTCAAGAAAACAATCTCTGTGTCAAACAAACGTTTATGATACTTACAGGTTTAGTTCAGCAGGATAATCTCCACATGTTAACACCACTTTATGATTTCTGAAGTAAAAAGCTAATGTTGGGCTATAAAGGAACTACAGCACGGTCACATGACTTCACGTCACCACCGCTAAGCTAAAGGTGGCTAATGTTGGGCTATAAAGGAACTACAGCACGGTCATATGACTTCACATCACCACCGCTAAGCTAAAGGAGGCTAATGTTGGGCTATAAAGGAACTACAGCACGGTCACATGACTTCAATCAATCAATCAATCAATGTTTATTTATATAGCCCAATATCACAAATGTTACATTTGTCTCAGTGGACTTTACAGTTTGTACAAAATATCAGTATGACAATACGACACCCTCTGTCCTTAGACCCTCACATCGTACAAGGAAAAACTTCCGGAGAAAACCCACAGTTTAAAGGGAACATGGGAGAAACCTCAGGGAGAGCAACAGAGGAGGGATCCCTCTCCCAGGACGGACAGACGTGCAATAGATGCCGTGTGTAAATTGAAAAGATAATACATTTGCAACATAGGTAGTCCAAATGTTTGGAAATGCATGTGTGTATAATAGGAAGATGAATCCACGAGGATATCCATCCAGGACCTATGATCCAGGACCACAGCCACGACTCAAGATCCAGGGCTCGCGATCCAGGACAGAGGAGCGCAGGATCATCCATGACTCCGGATCCCGGCGTATATAGACACCAAAAAGAAAGACATTTGGGGAAGCTGGGTTAATCGGAACATGAGAGTACACAGGTATAGACAGAGAGAAGGAAGAAGTAAGATGTCCCCCGACAAACTAAGCCTATATCAGCAAAACTAGGGGCTGGATCTAATCAGCCCTAACTATAAGCTTTATCAAAAAGGAAGGTCTTAAGCGCACTCTTAAAAACGGATAGGGTGTCTGCCGCCCGAACACAAACTGGAAGCTGATTCCACAAATGTGGAGCTTGATAAGAAAAGGCTCTGGCTCCCATTGTACTTTTAGAGACTCTAGGAACAACCAACAACCCTGCATTCTTGGAACGCAATGCCCTAGTAGGACAGTAGGGTATAATGAGTTCTTTAAGGTAAGATGGCGCCTGCCCATTAAGGGCTTTGTAGGCGAGAAGAAGAATTTTAAATTCTATCCTGTGTTCTATAGGGAGCCAGTGTAAGGCAGCCAGAACAGGAGTAATGTGGTCCCTTGTCCTAACTCTGGTTAGTACACGAGCCGCAGCATTTTGAATCAGCTGAAGCGACTTGACTGACTTCTTGGTACACCCTGATAATAAAGAGTTACAATAATCCAGCCTTGAAGTAACAAATGCATGGACTAGTTTCTCTGCATCGTTTTGAGGCAAGATATGCCTGATTTTTGCAATGTTACGTAGATGGAAGTAGGCGGTCCTTGAAATTGATTTTATGTGGGCGTTAAAGGATAAATCCTGATCAAATATAACACCAAGATTCCTTACAGTCTCACTGGAGGCCAAATTAATGCCATCCATAGTTAGTATATCCTTAGATAATTTGTTTCGTAGATTCTTCGGGCCAAGTACAATAACTTCAGTCTTGGTCGTGTTTAACATCAAAAAGTTTAAGGTCATCCACGTTTTTAAGTCCTTAAGGCAGTCTTGAATTGTATTTAGATGATTAATTTCATCAGGCTTGATTGATAAATATAGTTGAGTATCATCCGCATAACAATGAAAGTTTACAGAATGATTCCTTATAATATTGCCTAACGGAAGCATATATAATGTGAACAAAATAGGTCCGAGCACTGAGCCCTGTGGCACTCCATGGCTAACTTTGGTTTGCGTGGAAGATTCATCATTGACACGTACAAACTGAGAGCGTTCAGATAGATAGGACCTAAACCAGTCTAAAGCAGTTCCCTGTATGCCAACTAAGTGCTCTAGTCTTTGCAATAGGATATCATGGTCGATAGTATCAAATGCAGCACTGAGATCGAGCAAAACAAGAATAGAGACACGTCCCTTGTCAGAGGCTATTAGAATGTCATTTGTGACTTTAACCAGAGCTGTCTCTGTGCTATGATGTGTTCTAAAGCCAGACTGAAAATCTTCAAATAAATAATTGTTTTTTTAAGTAATCACACAACTGTTTTGCGACCGCTTTCTCAAGAATTTTTGAGAGGAACGGAAGATTAGAAATAGGTCTATAGTTGGCTAAAACCTCTGGATCGAGGTTGTGCTTTTTAAGAAGCGGTTTTATCACTGCTACTTTGAATGATTGTGGAACATAGCCTGATAATAAAGACATATTCATAATATTTAATAAAGAAGTGCTAATTAATGGAAAAACTTCCTTCAACAGCTTAGTTGGAATTGGGTCTAACATGCACGTTGATGGTTTAGAAGAGAGAATCATTGAATTTAATTGTTCAAGGTTTATGGCTGAAAAGCATTCTAGTTTACTATCTAGTGTAATATTAGAACTTACGTTTCCGGGAGCTGTTGATAACACTATACTGGTCAAAGGCAAGAGGTCATTAATTTTGTTTCTAAGAGTAACAATTTTATCGTTAAAAAAGCACATAAAATCATTACTACTGAGTGCTATGGGAATAGAAGGCTCAATCGAGCTATGGCTATCTGTCAGCCTGGCTACAGTGCTGAAAAGAAATCTTGCATTATTCTTATTCTCATCTATTAATGAAGAGTAGTAGGCTGCTCTCGCTTTACGCAGTGCTTTCTTATATTCATTGAGAGCAATATGCCAAATTAAACGAGATTCGTCAGGTTTAGTAGAACGCCATATCCTTTCAAGTTGTCTCGACTTTTGCTTTATTTTGCGGGTTTCGGCATTATGCCATGGAGCTAATCTATGTTGTTTTATTTTCTTCTTTTTCAAAGGAGCAACAGAGTCTAATTTTATTCGCAGCGCATCTGTAGCACTATCAACAACATGATCAATTTGGGGTGGTGTACATTTTGTATAAGTTTCCTCCCTTACATGCAGACATGCTATCGAGTTAAGTATTGGTGGAATCTCTTCCTTAAATTTGGCTATAGCACTAACAGATAGGTTTATGCTGCAAGAGCTTTTGACTAATGCTTTGTAGTCTCGTAACAGTACTTCAAAAGTTACTAAGAAATGGTCGGATAAAGCAGGATTATGCGGTTCGACTAATAGTTGCTCAATTTCAATACCATAAGTCAGAACAAGGTCGAGAGTGTGATTATAGCAGTGGGTTGGTTTATTTACACTCTGACAAAAACCAACAGAATCTAATATAGAGTTAAATGCAACAGTAACGCTATTTTTATCATCGTCAACATGAATATTAAAGTCACCTACGATAATTACTTTATCTGTTTTAAGTACCAAAGTTGATACGTCACCACTTCACGTCACCACCGCTAAGCTAAAGGTGGCTAATGTTATGCGTGATGGCGTTTAGGCGTCTCATTTAGACACTTTACTGCCGTTTTTTTAATTCACCAGTAGGGTAGTATTAACGGACATATTCTGTGGTAGAATAAAAACAAATCTCTTCAGCATATTTCAGGCTGACAACCAAAAATACATTCAGAAACTGCTAAAAATGACAACTAATTTCCGGGTTTTAGGAGTCCTTCCTGCATTATGAGAGGTAACATCGTGGCTCTGAAGTAACATTTATGCATGTTTTCCTTCCAGGCTGGGGATAAAATCGGCGAGTCCGAAAAGCTGAGTCTGATGGTCGAAGAGTGCGGAGGACTCGACAAGATCGAAGCCCTGCAGAATCACGAGAACGAGATGGTCTACAAAGCTTCCCTCAACCTGATCGAGAAATACTTCTCTGACGAGGTACGTCTCTTCTTAAAACTGATTTTAAACGAACCTTTTTTTACACCTATGAGTCGTCTTAACTTTATGTTTCTGTTGTTAAAGGACGAGGTGGTTCAGTCTGTGGTTCCCGAAGTGACCGATGACGGCTATGCATTCCAGATCAGTGAAAACCAAAGCACAAGTTTCAACTTCTAGAGACTTTCTGATTTCCACTTCTTCTCTACACTTTACTGTACCCTCCTGTTTGTCTCCATCTGTGGAGTTTCCTGTATGTGTTGTACATACTGTTTTAATGTGACAAAACATGACTGTAAATAAAGTTGTTTGTACCACTAGCAATGGTTTTTGGTTTGTGTTTACTGACTTTTTTATATATTTTCTTTTACTTGGGTTTACATATTTGTATTTCATCTTAAATATTTAGATTCTTCAGGGTGTCCGTGGGGTCTTAAAAAGTAGATAAATCAATTTAGCGAAAGTTAAGGCTATTAAACGGCATTTTCCAAGGTATGACATTTTGTAGCTTGTTTTCAATAAGTATATGAATTGTCCAAAGAGGTTGTGTTCTACAGTCTGCCTGAATGTAATCATGGCGTAGGTGTGTAGTGTGATTCTGTGGAGTTTATTTATGGCATCCCGTTGGGTTTGACGTCATCTGAACAGGACATTTCTGTTTACGCCGGTTGTTAAACATCGTTATGGGGAAATGCAAGTTTGCGTCCAAATGGTTGGAAGATAAGGAGGAAGGACAATCAATACTGTATATAGTCAATGTGAGGTAAAGTGTGTCGCCAAGGTAACCGGTTAAAACTCGAAGTAAAGTGGCGATGAGGTCTTCAAATGTATGGAAAGGGTCTTAAAAGGCATTACCTTTGACTTCAGGATTCCTGCATATACCCTGATTTAACATTACAACAAAATTAAGTTTACCTCGCTCAGGGTTTATTTATTAAATATTTGAAATGCTCCTCGACAGACTTAAGCGCTCGCTGTTTTCCTTTGAAAATATAAGACCTGCTCTCCAGAGGCAGGAATCCGTCATTACATCTTTCTAAGATAAAGCTAGCTCCAAAAAGTTGTTTTGAATATTTTCCATGTTGAAATATACGACTATAAAACAATGAAATACAGAAGACATCAGCTGACATGATCACCTGGAGTAAATGCAGTTTACAAATAATGGTATATTTAATAAGTACAATATATATAAAAGATAATCAGAATTACTTTAGTCCCACAAAGGGAACATTTACATTGTTGCAGCCAATTGTGGCAAGCATTTCCTGGTCATAACTAAAAACGTGTGTATTCTCAATGCAGTACTTTCACTTGTAATGGAGTATTTTTACAGTGTGGAATCATTACTTTAAAGATCTGCAAAGGTGAAAAGTAACTACGTACATTTACTCAAGTACTGCACTTAACTTCAGTATTTCCATTTTATGCAACTTCCACTACAGTTCAGAGGTAAATCGTGTACTTTTACTCATGTATTTAACACCTTTAGTTACTTTACAGATCTGGATGAATTATGTGAAATACCAAGTGTTAAATCAGACTTTAGTTCCACCTGGAGTAAATCCACCAGCTACCCTGCAGTATACAAAGTCATTCAAACTAGCTGCACCTTCACCAGCTTTGAGAACACTTTCATGATCAATCATTATAAAACATATCATATTATTCTGAAATGGACCAATCTGCACAACGACTACTTTTACTTTTGATATATTTTGATGCTAATTATTTTCTACTTTTACTTGAATAACATTTTGAATGCAGGACTTTTACTGTAACAGAGTATTCCTACACTCTGGTACTTCATAGTACTAGACCTGAGTACTTGTTCCTCCTCTGGTAACATGTTGGGGAAACGTGAAATCACTCCCCCAAAGAGTGTTGTCGTCACCGGTCAGAGCAGAGGATCCACTCCGGAGGAGGACCAGTCCGAGGCAGAGGCTGATCCGAAGATGTGAAGACAAACCCGGCATTTCCCCAGCAGCTTCTCTCCACTTTCCTCCGGGGGAAAATCATTTTTTATACATGCATTTTGCAGCTTTCTCTTTTATTTTATTTTTGCATTTGTGAGCGCTCGCCATGGCAGTTCAGTTCGCATCCGGGCCACAATGCCTTGACTCCATTATTGTCTAAAACTGGCTGAGAGGTTGATAAACCTTGATATTATAATTTTTATTTTTTACAGTTAATTTTTTTTGTATTACGTGAAGTGAAGGCTGGAACCAAGAGGACATGTCTAACCAAGGAGTCCGGCGGAATGGCCCTGTGAAGCTGCGACTAACAGGTAGCAACGCTGTTTAAATCCCCATGGGAACTGGTCGCATCCAGCAAATAGACGAAGCCCGTCTGGCTAGTGTGTGGATAATACACTGGATAGGGGGCTCAGGCTATTACACCCAGCAAATAGACGGGTGCTGGACGGGGAGAGTTTCCCAAGCAAGGGGGCTCTGTCTACTACATCCAGCAGATGGACGGGGCTAGGTGGGCTCCGTCTATTTGCTGGATGGGACCAGATCCCATAGGCTATATGGAATTGGCTAAACGCCGGTTCTTTCTACGATTTTGTAAACAGCTTCAACACATTTTATAAATTATTTGTTTTTACAGTGTTGACCTTTATCTGAAAATTGACTAGACCCCTAGATGAAGCTAAATGTGGATATTACTGTTCCCTAGTCTGATCCATATGTTGTGCTACTCTGCCCATTAAGAGTGTGCTTACACTTGAATAAACCAACATTTGGCCTGATATCTTACATTTTTATTTTGCTTACAGATACATTTATGCAATGTCAGTGTTATCCAACTATAACACTATTCTGCCCACAGACAGGCTCATATAAAGTTGGCTAGCAGACATTAGCCTAGCATGCCAGCTAGCCATAATCAAGCCTTTATGATGCCAGGCTCCACAGGTCAGAGAGTCTGGATCTGAACAGAGAGCTTTGTCATATAACGGAATACACACACACACACACACACACACACACACACACACACACACACACACACACACACACACACACACACACACACACACACACACACACACACACACACACACAGAAAGCTGCATCCTTTGTGATTAAAACAGGTCACCATAAGTTGTGTTTCACACAAACAACGTTTTAAATGCACAGGTAATTGATCTTAAGAACTTTTTGTAATATAATTGTCTGTTTAAGTTGAATTATTACAGATGCATTTTGCTCAAAGTTCATCACATGTTATTTTAATTCTGAATTTAAAGTCACTAAAAGCTGTTTGATAAATGTAGTGGAGTAAAGGATAAAGAAGCATAACATGGGAATACTCAAGTAGAGTAGAGTAACAAGTTCTTCAAATAGTACATTACTTTGAGTAAATGTACTTAGTTACTTTCCACCACTGTTAATGAATACAGACAGACAGACAGACAGACAGACAGACAGACAGGCAGGCAGGCAGGCAGACAGACAGACAGACAGACAGACAGACAGACAGACAGACAGACAGACAGACAGACAGACAGACAGGCAGACAGACAGACAGGCAGGCAGACAGACAGACAGACAGACAGACAGACAGACAGACAGGCAGGCAGACAGACAGACAGACAGACAGGCAGGCAGGCAGGCAGGCAGGCAGACAGACAGACAGACAGACAGACAGACATACAGGCAGACAGGCAGGCAGACAGGCAGACAGACAGACAGACAGACAGACAGACAGACAGACAGACAGACAGACAGACAGACAGACAGACAGACAGACAGACAGACAGACAGACAGACAGGCAGACAGACAGACAGACAGGCAAACAGACAGTCAGACAGACAGGCAGACAGACAGGCAGACAGACAGACAGACAGACAGACAGACAGACAGACAGACAGACAGACAGACAGACAGACAGACAGACAGACAGGCAGACAGGCAGACAGACAGACATCTGCCTCCTTTGTGGGTAAAACAGGTCACCATAAATTGTGTTCCTGCAGTATAATCCATTTATAAAGCAGTTCTGTTCCTGTGAACACTTCATACTTTCGCAGCTCTGTTCTTCCTCCTCAGCTGTTTTAATGTGTGCCTTCTCAACACAAACAGCAGAAACGGTTTACATGAGAGCTCTCTGTTTTGACTGGGAGACGAGAGCCCGCCCTGTCTGATGTCCGTCCAGCGTCTGACCTGAGTCAGATTCCATGGCAGGCTTTCAAATTAAATATTTGAGCTGGTGCTGTTTTTTGGAAACAAGGAGCGATCTTAATAAGAGGGATAAAATGAGCTGGACGTGCAAAAAAAGCCAAGTAAATCAGACTGAGCTAGCTGTCAGAAGTCATTCAAGGTTCAATGCAAGATGTGGAGAGTTGTATACAAAAATGTCAAACCCAGCGTTCTTACATTTGTAAATACATGACATGTCGTACAGGGATGGCAGCAGATCAGTCTGTTGGGAATTAGCTTAGGAATTGGATGGTCGTCAGTTCGAGTGACACGTTACGCCCTTCCCGATTTAATATCCCCCTGAAATACTTATTTTCTGCATGATTCCCTCTGTATATTTGTCAGTGGATTTTTGTTTTCCAGCACCGATAGCAATCACTCCTCGGGGCATATTTCGAATTATGTGATGTTGTCCACATGATCAGCTCCGGTCCTAAAGCTGCAGCTCTACGAAGAAGTACTCACTTTTACCAGAGATGCTTCACTACACACTGTCATGATGTGTTTCTTTGTTGAGCGCTGCACAGCTGTGTAGCTGCTGCGACGGAAGTAATGGACACAGAAGGTGTAGAGTGGTGCAGGAATGAGTCCTGGAAATTAGTTAACATTTTCGCACTTTCCTTGATTGGAAGTCAATTGTTTTTAGGATGTTTTTTTTTAAAGTTGTTAGCCTGAAAAAGGTTCTGTATTAACCCTAGCTGAACATATTTTAACGTTTTGTTTTACAACATAAAATACGTCCGCAAATACCGTAGCCTACAAGTGTTCGATGTGTCTATCATAAAAATGCCGGTTGCTAACAAGTTTCTAAAAAAGACGCCCAACATTAGCCGCCTTTAGCTTAGCGGTGGTGACGTGAAGTCATGTGACCGTGCTGTAGTTCCTTTATAGCCCAACATTAGCCGCCTTTAGCTTAGCGGTGGTGACGTGAAGTCATGTGACCGTGCTGTAGTTCCTTTATAGCCCAACATTAGCCGCCTTTAGCTTAGCGGTGGTGACGTGAAGTCATGTGACCGTGCTGTAGTTCCTTTATAGCCCAACATTAGCCGCCTTTAGCTTAGCGGTGGTGACGTGAAGTCATGTGACCGTGCTGTAGTTCCTTTATAGCCCAACATTAGCCGCCTTTAGCTTAGCGGTGGTGACGTGAAGTCATGTGACCGTGCTGTAGTTCCTTTATAGCCCAACATTAGCCGCCTTTAGCTTAGCGGTGGTGACATGAAGTCATATATCTTATTCTCTCCAAAATCCAATAGAAATTCCAATTGGCTTTCTGTCGAGGGACCACTTGCGATGCTAACTTCCGAAATGTTCTAAAAAAATGTGTCACCACTCTTTCGAGACCTTGCATGTAGTCATTTGTAGTCGGGTTGATTTTTGACACATAGCTGCAGATGAGTTTGTTTCCTGGCAGGTTGTGAATGATGACATTCAACAGGCCTGTAGCTGTTTGTGCTGAAGGCGTCTCTACTTGCTGACAACCTCCCCCCCCCCCCCACTGTCCATTTGAACCAGATGTTGCACATGTTTGCCAGCTATAAAACTGGAAAGATATGGCAAGCAAGCTGCTAAAACTAACACTCAGGGTGAGAATTACCCCTCGACAACAACGGGACAGGTTTCCATTAGACACTCCTAAATTATGTGACATACAAACACGGGGTGATCATAAATTACATCATCACGCCACGGCTCATTGTTTGTCTGATCACTATTAAATTCTGTAGTGCAGACACAGCTCATGCAGGTTTTAAAAAATAAAATGCAATACTGTGTGGAGCTGGTCTTGTATATAAGATATATCTATTATCTCGAGACATGTCCCCCGTATACAAGATGTCTCCGTGGACGTAAACAACAACGTGACGTCACAGCTCCGTAAAAACAAAGCTGTCTTTGCCGTCTGACGCTCGGTTTGATTCTCATATTTCTGGAGTAATTATACAGTTTTTGACGAACAGAAATATAGTTTTCTGGCATCACTTTAACATTTTACGGGTAAAATCTGCATTTTGGTTACTTGGTTTGGACAAAACCCCGTCATGATTTGCACCGCTTTCCATGTGTTCACTTTAAACTATAATACCCTGCTGTTGTCATATATCGTCATATAATCAATGTGTACATTTGTTGTCTCTTGTATATATTTATTTTATGGTTTAAATGCTTGTCTTCTTTTTAAAAGCTAAATAGTTTGTTTGTACCATTTTACACCAATGAAAATCCCGTGAATGTGTAATGGTACCAGGCAATAAACGAAACTCTTGAAATTCTGATTCTGAAAATTGATGACACGCAGCCAAAAGTTCACTCTAATGTGATTGAGAGTTTGCAGAAAGTGGAACGCACCCCTGCCGCCCGTCTGAGTCAAGAGCTGTCCGTCACAAAGAAGAAGGCTAAGCTCCTTTGAATCAATTTTCCGCCCCGAAAGACTTGCAACAGAATAATAAACGAACTGATGTGTGATTGATTTCCTGGCCCGATGCAGATTCTCGACATTTATAGCCTCGTCTTTGCTACGAGTTTACACGTGACCTTTTGAGGCATATGGTTTGCTCATCTGAATTCTTTGGCGCGCTGCAGACAGCGAAGAGATCTCTCTCTGTGGGATTCCCTACAATTCTCCATTCGTATTCCCACCTCTTCCTCTCGGAGTCAGTCCTGTTCTTTCCGACTGTAAGCCTCGTCTCCCTCTCACCAAAGAATATTTCACTCCCACCCTCCCTCTGCCCTCACCCGTTCTGTTTCTGTCTGTGCACCCTGACACTTATTTGCGGATAATCAGCTACAGGATTTAAAGTCACTGCAAGTATCTCCAAGTAGTAGAGGTGGGCACTATAATGCTTTATCAACAGGGTTGGGAGGGTTACTTTTAAAGGTCCCATGTCATGCTTTTCTGGTTCTTACCCGTCCCCTTGTGTTATGAAGGTTGTTCTGCATGTGCACGGTCTGCAGAGTCACAAACCCTCAAAGTACACCCTGTAGGGAGTAAAACTCTAACACAGAGAAGACCTGTCTGTGCTGCCCCAGAACGCCTCGTTGGACATTTCTCTTTTTCCATTTGTTTACTTCTTGGGTATAGTG